CTATTTTAGTGTTATAATTTTGTTTAATAAAAGTCTACCGCCATTTAAATAATTGTGTGTTGTAAGATATAACCCACAGATATATTCCTTTCAATTGAAATCATTTTATTGAAAATTTGACACTTAACTTGCTCACAGAGGAGACTTTTAAAATAGTAACTTTTTTACAAAAACTAACTTTTTCAACTTAGCATTTGAAAATGTTCAGGAAATATTCACATTTTTTTTAAATCTTAAATTAAAGCTTTTATTATATACTTTACTATGAAAACAAAACTTCGAAATATACATTTTCTTCTTGGTTAAAATAGCTACCCNTATGAAAACAAAACTTCGAAATATACATTTTCTTCTTGGTTAAAATAGCTACCCTATTCAAAAATATGCTATTTTTGTGTTCAAATTCTGGGTTTTGTATTTTATTTTATTTTAAAATATCTTACAAGGGGAATACACCGACTTTCATGAATATTATAAAATTTAATTGACATAAAATAAAGTTCATAAAACATAAGAAATTAAACTTATTAAATTTTTTTTACTTTTTTACAGTCGAAAAAGTAATTTTTAAATTTAAATTAGCTTAAATTGCTAATTTTATCACGCAACGAAAGTGATGAACAGCTGCCGAATCAGTAACACTTGTGTCTTTCACGCTTCGGGTACGAGGTTCCAATCCGCCTGTATATCACCAATATCGCAATTAATATTTTCCATTTTTTTTTTTGAGTTAGAAAAAGTTTTCAAATTATTTGATTTTCATCTCGTTTAGATTCAATAACTTCAATAAATATCAAAGAACCCATAACTATAGTCTCCCCTCGTGAGAAAAAATTTCTTATTCATGTTAATATTATTTTACTATGTGGTTTTTTTGTGGCTACGATTTATTTTGCCAGCCCTCACTTGACCTACTTTTTTCAACGATACATCAAATGATTACAATTCGTATTTATTTTAAGTTATTACTCTAAAAAATCGAAAAAAAATTTATTATTCAAATAAAAAGTTGCTTGGACAGCTTTTGCCATACAAACAATTAAAATCATTTATTTCTAATATTTTTTAAGTATTTATTGTCGAATTAGATTTGATATGATAAAAGTACTCAACTACAAAAGTAAATAATTTTACTTTGTAATTTATTAATTTTTTTACTCTATTAGTGTGAGCTACTACCAGTCTATAATATTCCAAATTTTTTGTAACATGTTGCTATATAAATTATAAATTTAAAAAAAAAATAATTTTTAGTTTCACCTGAATAAACGATGGATTTTTACAATTATAATCAAATTTTATTTGGGTTAAAAATTATTACTTTTAATATATTAAAAATCAATATCCATAATAATTTGAAAATAATTATATAATATATAACTTAAAATTATATTTTTGAATCTAAGAATTACTAAACGTTTATACTATATTTTTAATAAGCGTTAAAAACAGAAATATTTAGCGAAAAGTTCCCGATTTTTATATTACTTATTATAATTTTAACTAAAATGTTTACGTTGTTCCATTTTTTTAAATGATTGAAACAACATTTTGTAATTTTTTAAACAGATATTATAGATTTTTATCTAATGAATATCAAGAACTCGCACAAAATATAAATTTTCCTAACCAATATATTTTAAAATCAACTAATCTAATTCATTACCAATTGATAGTATGAAACTATTAGTAGAGTTTTCCATTGTTTTTTTTCATTTAAAAAGATTTTAATCGATTTTGAACATTAATAAATTTGATTCGTATTTATTACGTCCTCGACACATTTTAATGCGTTCTTTCATTTTAGTTTTTTTGTAAAAAAATACCTCGTTTATCAAATACTAAAATGGTTTGCTTTAATTGTAAAATTTTATTTAATTAACTTTTTTACTTTAGAAAATATAGTTTCATACCTTTAGGTATTATTAAAGGTTTAACGCGTCAAGGTTTAATATATTAATATTACAGAATTCTAGACATAAATGGATTTTTATATTAGTCGCTATATCGAATCATTAAAGATGAGTAATATTTGTATTCGAGTGTTAAACAAATATAAGAATATGTTGTAGTAAGTCGGTAGTGCCCCAACGTAGACACAAAAGTTTTACATAAATTATTTACTTTTGTTTATTATATATATGTCTTGACAACGAGTTCGTCATTCAAGCTCTTATCGAGTCCTCCCGTTGGATAAACTGATCAGCTCCAATCCCTCATAGTAGTGAACTACTAAAGGGGTAGAGTTTAGACCCGTCAGCATAGTGTAGCTCAACAGTGGCAGACTGAAGTGTGGCTCCTTGTCAGCCACCAGCACAACTACCTTTTTCACTATACCCTCTAAAGGACGGTTAAACCCAAAAACTAGTCAGTTTTTAATTATTAAGAAAGACTAAAGGACCAGTAGTCCAACATCGACTCTTGCCGCACACACGCAGATTTTTATATCAAGAAGGATATAAAGTATTTCCTCTCAAGTACAGATTTTTAACTAATTATTTTATTTATATAACGTAAAAACACAATGTCAAATATAATATAAAAATTTAACACAAAATTAATGAAGTCTTACAAAAATACAAAGTAACTCGCACACCAACGACCTAACCCGTAACTCGACGTTTCTTCGTCAAAACGTCCAGTCCTCATATCCATTTCATGTTTCTCTTTTATATTTTTTCCCCACCATTATTCATTTGCTGACTACATTTTTTTTTTTTATATGGAATTATTATACATATAATACATTATATTGCTTAACAGTACAAAAATTGCTAACTACTGTTGTAGAAAGCAATTATACACAACATTTTTATACTAAAATGTACGTAATTTAATACTTCCTCAGCTATTTACTACAACGTGTAACTGTAACCGATTTATTTAGATTAAAACAATTTTTTACACATAAAATAATATTATCTAAGAAAAAAGTGCATTTAATAATTGACTATAAATATGTTTTTAGAAAATACATTACTCAGTTAGATTAATAAATTTATATATTACTTCGTCACTTAAAATTGAAAATGTTCTAACACAAAATCGATGATTTAAACATAATTATCATTCAGTTAAATGGAACTTTTAATTTTTATTTAACTTACAATGAGTGAAACAATTTAATTTAAGGCTAAACAAATGCTATTAATTAATTTTTCTAAATATTTATGAAAAAAATATTTAAAAAAAAATATGATTTAAATTTTTTTTTTTTTTTTTTTGAGATAGCGAAATATTAATTTAATTGATAGTTATTGTTAGTAGATCACAAAATACAGAAAAAATAACAAAAAAATGTATATATTATGTTTAATCCCTATTGGAAAAAATTGAAATCTTTGCAAAACAAGTTAACACTTTCCTGAACTTTTATTTTAAATTTTGATAGCTCATCTTCCTTATGATAAACATTTAGTAATTCTCTAAAATATTGGCTTATGATATTTTCGTATCTTATTATGTCAACATTATACGTAGTGTAATTTATATCTTTTATATTAGGATCAGTAAATTTTTCATATACGTATATATCACTTTCTGTGTTCTTTTTTAAATAATTCAACTTTTCAATGAAATTTAAAGATATTTTGAGAATTTCGAGTATTTTTTTCTGTAAGACACATTCAAAACATTTTAGTGCACTATCGATGCAAGTCAGTAATGGTTTAAACATAATAAAAATGTCGATTAAAATTTTATATTTGCGTGACAATACCGGTGTTAAAAATTCATTTGCAGGCAGTGCATTGCAATAAAATTGTTGTAAATTCAAAAGCACATTACCATAAAAACAACTTAATGCGTTTGAAAGTTTTAACTTTGCAATATCCAAGGAATCTTTATCTACATCATTGACAAAAGGAATTTTTTTAATTATATCCTTGGCTTGTACATATTCACTAGGCGGTTTGTACATTAAAATAGAACAATTTATTGATTTCCATCCTTTAGAATCAATAATATTATTAAAATCAACAACCTGTTGACGAATTAATTCATCATCTGGATTCATCGAATTAAAACAACTACTTTCAAGACATATTAGTATAAAGAAAAACATTAATCGCGTGAAAATCATAATAAATAATTGTAATCGCACAATAAGAAGTAACTTACTCGTATAAGCCTTATACTATTATTTCTTTGAATTTATATGTATAATCTATTTACATATATTAATACAAATATGAACAATTATTATTTATGTGTATTTGCTTTATTATAATTTATTTTGGGAATGTAAGTATTTTTGTGTTACAATACAACAAAAAAATAAAATCATTGTTAGGGTGGGGGCAACAAATCTTATGCCGCTTACCCCGGCACCTGTAAACTCTTTTTTAGGAATAAGTGGACTGTATAGTTGACTAGGATCGTCTGCTCACACACACACCTTACTTGAAGCCGGAGAGGTTGTCTACAGGAAACAAGAGGGTGTGTGAGACAGGTAACATAAGTAACTTAAACTATGAATAAAAAACAATGACTAGATAGTTTTAAAACTCATCAAATATATATATATATAAACTCTGAATATTATTATACAAAATAAACCTATAAAAATTTAACAATAAATATAAACTAATAAATAAATAATATATATAAAAATTATCTCCTTAAAAACAATGATAATAAAGGTTGGTAACTAATAAAAAACAAATCAAATTATAATGTACAACAAATAACCCTCTTGGCTCAACAATAAACAACCTTATAACTCTAGCATACATAAACTAAAATATTTCAATACATAAATAATAGAATTAATGAAATAAATCAATAAGTGTTTATAATAATTTGTCAAATAATTCGGTAACTGTGAGTTTTAAAAAATTGACTACAATAATATTTGTATAGATTACTCTCTCTAAATGACTAGTTGCTCACGTATGCTCAATTACAAATAAATAATATATAATTAAACTCTGGTATCAGAACTCTGCTGACTTGTATGTATCCCCTTAGCCTTATTGTTAGAAAAAATACTCAAAATAAATAAAAATAAATATTGTTAAAAGAAACTCACAGAAACGCTGATATATGTGTGCACTGGCCAGCTGCAACAACACCTAATAAATATCTGCTCAAATTACTCAACAAAAATACACATATACATTGAACTCAGTATTAAACATACACTAACTCTTTTTACAAAAAATGTTATCTTAACCTAATATTTAAAAGTGAGAGNTGTTATCTTAACCTAATATTTAAAAGTGAGAGGAAGAAGGTGGAGGAAATGAGAGTAACCCGGCCATGTGATTTGGCATAGCCTTTAGGTGCCAGCTTCACGCATAGAGCGCAGTACATAACTCGTTTGAGCCTTAACAATCATACTTGTCGAATTAAAACTTCATAGCTAACTCAAAATTAGAAATTTTATTAGAAATTAAATATTATTGTATGCTCCACGGCACAATAGAGTGCATAAGCAAAAGGTTAAGTTTTAATAATGACTTAGTGAATTGTTACAAAACATCCTATAATGCACATTTTTTCCAAAATAGAAACAAATGAAATACATGGAAAAATAGAGAACATAACAAATATGCATGGAGTGAGATAATGGGGTATGAATAAGTATTAGAGTTGCCCTAAAGTAATGATTCGATTAAAGGGGGAAAAAAATAAAAAAAGAATAGGTATAAAAGTGTGTGTAGCTCGTACTGGTGTACGTATATTATAGGTATGCATTCCATACTTACTGTATGTATTAAAATATTTAAAACTCAATGGATCACTTGTCCTAAATTTGTTATTAGTCCTATCCAATTTTTTTGTAAAATAAAAGCTAAAAAATGGCAATTTTTGAAATTATAGAAAAAATAAACTAATTTGATTTATTAATGATTAGTAAATTTGTATAGATATTTATATCTAGCTATAAAAAGGTAGCTTCTTTTCAACTTTATTTTTTAAAAAGCGTTAAAACCAGAAATATTTATAAAAAAGTTCCCGGTTTTTAAATTACTTGTTATAATTTTAACTAAAATGTTTACGTTTAAGGTTTACCGGACTAAGGTTTAATATATTAATATAACAAAACTCTTGACATTAATGTTTTTAGCTTCGATGCGAAGCTCAGAAGGTATTAATTTTAATATGATGTGTTTTTTTTTATTATTTTTTTTTGTGTCTGTTATCACATTTTCTCAGCTCACAAATTTTTCACAAAAATTTAACTTTTTCAACTTAACTTTATTTGACGTACTTTTTTTTTTAAATCGGACCATTTCCTTTAATACAGGGGGGGATCAAAATTTAAAAATTCATATAGAAAGTAGAACTTTTTCAACTTAATTATTGAAAGTGTTTGGAAAATATGATACTTTTGTATACATCTTAAATTAAATCTTATGTAATATACTTTATAAAGGAAAAAAAATTTTGGACTTTATTTTACTTTAATGATGATAATCATCAAAGTTAATAAAAAAAAATTCGATTTTTGTAAAAAAAATTCCTTTTTATATTTTTAACTTTTTGAAAAATATATGGATCGTTATAATTTTTTTAAGAGAAATAATATTTATATATTTCTTTCATTCGACATTCTTTTTTTTTAAATTGGACCATTTTCCTTTATATATTTATATATTATAAATATATATGTATATTCATATGTTACACTTATAATTTATAAAACTTAATCGAAATATACGTACAGAAATAGTAGAACTTTATTAGCAATTTAAGCTAATTCAAATTTAAATATTACTTTTTTGACTATAAAAAAGTAAAAAATTTTAATAAGTTTAATTTCTTATGTTTTATGAACTTTATTCTATGTCAATTAAATTATATAATATTCATGAAAGTCAGTGTTTTTCCCTTGTATGATATTTTTAAATAAATTAAAGTACAAAACCCAGAATTTTAACACAAAAATAGCATATTTTTGAATATGGTAGCCATTTTCACCAAGAAGAAAATGTATATTTCGATTTTTTTTTTCATAGTAAAGTATATAATTTTGAGGCACGTGAAGAGGTTGACCAAGTACTCTCAAAATTCTCTAATATTTTCTGAATGCTGATAGAACAATATTCCGATCACTTGACATCAAATTATAAGACTTGCAAAATAAGGACCACCTTAATGTGCAAGCGTAACTGAGCTTTTTTATATTTTTGAAGTGAAACTTCTTTATAGAGGGCCCGAAAAAAAACAGATTATCGAACGTCACGGTTGGCAAAATGGTCATCTGTATAGTATATTTAATATTATAATTTAGCTCTATATTTTCAAAAATAATTAAGCTCTCTTGCGGTAAAAATTCTATAATATGTCACTAATTGATACAGGTATTTGTCAAAAATATTCATTATTTGATAACAACCAATATTGATGTATGTGACGGTTTGGCAAATGGTGTGGTGGGAGAGCTAGTCCATCTTGAACGAAATGAAGCTGAAGAAGTGACTGCTGTGTGGCTCGATTTTTCTCATTGTCCGAATATCGGAAATAAAATTAGGAGAAAGTTTACTGGTCATATGACCGCAAATAACATTAGCCGAACAGCAGTTCCAATCACTAGGAGATCATACACCATAAATTTGAATCAAAGCAAAACCAACTGTGTTATGCGTTCTCACTTGCCTGTAATCTGTGCTTGTGCAACGACTATTCATAAATCGCAAGGAAGTATGTATATGCTGAAGTGGTGTATGAATACGACAAAAAATACATGCAATCGTTGCTATATGTAGCTTTGTCACGAGTTACTGATCTTCACTAAATTATTACTAAAAATAATGAAGATTTGATGTTTTAACATGGAAGGATAACATCTGATTCCACGAGGTGCCTTTGTGATGAATTTACAAGACTCGCTCTTTCTTGAATAAAAGGAACAATTCATCATCATTGTAGCAGTTTATATCTCACCAAATCAAAAACATAGTTTATTTTTTAAATAGATTACTGCTTATCTTTACTACTAAAGGTGCAGCATTACTCGGCAGGGGAGAAGATAAATTGCCTATGATTCTGAGTGGATCATAATCATGATCATCATGATGAACTTAAATGTTAATATTGCATCAGATAGATAAGAACTATTAAAAAAAATGTTTGCGTGAAAATCTCAATTTATCAATGAATAATGATCNAAAAATGTTTGCGTGAAAATCTCAATTTATCAATGAATAATGATCCGAAAACTCCAACAACTCGATCAAGAACCACAACAGATGTAATTTTCAGTCGATATATTAATAACATTCAATCGAAAACTTACATCACTTATTTCAGTTACCATATGCCTATTATATCTTATTTCACATAGAAAAATAAATTAAAATTTTTACGTGCATTTTCCCAATATATAATTATCCCAATATATACCTAATATTCTATTAATTGAATGACTCTGAATAAAGTTTCATATTTTATAGGTTTTTATAACTTTTTAGACTATCCCAATTGTTTTCGCCTAGCACACTCTATCATTAAATCCGCTAGGGTAGCGAATATACACTTGACAAATCATCGCTCTCTTGGATTCTAGCCGCCTAGTTGTCAACTTATCTTATCGTCTTCGTTCGATAGTTACCTTTTTCTCTCGTGACATGAGTTATAAATATTGTCAAACTAAAATCTGTACATCGTGTCATCACAACTTGCGGTTATATTATTGTTACGGTAAACCGTTTAAATATTGTAATCCTATAAAAAATTTGTTCTAAGCAAATTCGATTTTTAAAATCACTATGAGCTTAGAGTTTATTACATATTGTATTTGTCTTATTTCATATAAATTAAACTTTTAATTTTTTAAATTGCTTTAAAACAATAATTTGGAAATCATTTAATTAAGGCATGTTTTTTATTAGTAGTTGTAAGAATAAAAAATGTTTTAAATTGTAAGCATAGAAATAAACCAGATATTTTCTTATAGATTAATTTTCTATCTTGTTGTTGTTTATCAAATTTACACTTTATAACAGTACACTAGAAAAATATACGAAATAATTTGATCATTTAACAAGTGCCAAAATATTGATCTTACATTATAATACTGATCAATTATTCATAATTTAATAATTATTATAGTTTGATTCAATAAAATTAAGGTGTTAAAAATTTGACATAAACCTAGTAATTATATGATAAGTGTTTATTTTAAAAAAATCAAATTTAAAATTCATTTTAGTCTATCGGCGAGTATAGTGCACCAACACACATCTTGGGATAATTTTCGTCAGCGCTTTAAATGATTTTCAGTTTATTGTA